TTTGGAACAAGGTGGGTGCCCTGTCAACACCTTCGGCCACATCTGTGGGACACCAAAACATTCCTAATCTTCCCACTCCCAAACAACTCGTGCACCTATAAAAACCCAAACACCGGGTACTGAACACACTAAAACAATTGCTGACATTTGCTCAACCTTTTCTTTCTGAGGACCCCCATTAGTTTTCTTCCACCGCATGAGCAACAGTGAGATTTCCACTGTCTTGGCTGAGCTCTCCAATAGTCAGCCTATACTTTCAAAAGAGTCTTTTCAAAACATTTCTAGAGTAACTATTTAAATGTTGTGTAAAGAGACAAGTCAAAATCTTAACATTAATGACTGCTTATGAAAGGAACTTCCTTAAGAAGAAATTTTCCTGGACCAGCATTACCCTATTTTACATTTTTTTCAGATATTTAAGGAAGAGGAGCCAGGTACTGAGCAGAAAGAAGGTATTTCAGACATATGCAGGGTTGATTCAGCTCACTCTGCTGAGTCCGAGCGAGAGGCTGGGGCCTTGTCACCTCATCAAGGAGTGGATGAGAATGGCTCGGGATTCCTTGGACACAGTCTTGGTTTATGCTCACCATGAAGCAAAGCTGCTTGAGAAATTATGGAAATATATATAAATGCCAACCATTCCTCAGGGAGGGAAACTGTGAAGGGAACCAGCTGTGCTATTAGACATTTTTAAATGTATGGATAAGTGCTCCCTTGCCATTCCTTGTGCTTTTCCCCTTCGCCGGCACTGTAGCCTCTTTGAGGGAAACACCTCTGGAGAGTTTCTAAAAGCCTTTCCAAAAACACTGTGTTCTTTGTAAGTTTTCCAGGGCATAAAGCAGAAGTTGTTGATCAACAACAATAACAACAAAACAGCCTTGGTTTTTGTTTTGCTTTAACCAACAAAACTCTCAGAAAGCGCCTTCTGTTTCTTGTTTGTCTCAAACTACCTCTGCAAGGGAAAAAAAACTGGGCACAGAGTCCCCAGAGTGTGTCCACGGGGGCACTTCACTGAAGTCACTGCACCACGCACGTCCGATGTGGCAACATCGGCCACGTAGGACGTATTGTCCTGCATGAATCACACCACTCCAACTCCAGCGGACATCAACTTCCATTCCTAATTTCATTAACGACGCAATTAGGAATAAACGAAGGTGAACGGGGTGAGTGCGAAACAGTCAGAACTCTCGGGGCCAGGACATAAACCAGACGTGCATCACAAACAAGCCGTCCCTGAGGACTAGAGGCAGAAAGGGGGCCACCAAAAAAGGACGTGGATTATGGAAATTTGTTCATAGTATTAAACTTTGGTCTGAAACATAAGGAGGTAGTAATTTGCCTTCTAAAATAGGAACCTCCTTTAAAAGTAAAAAGTATTACATGCTAGTGAAATGCTATTTTGTATAATTAATTCATAAGAATAGCAGCTACCACAAGCATCTCTCCTAACTGTCTTGTAATCATTTCGAAACCAAATTCTCTGCAGCCATTGCATTTCTTTCCTCAAAACCATCCTACAAAACCCTTTAGCTTAACTAAAAAAAAACAACCGTGAGTTGCACGAGGTGCATATTTTCACTGCTAATTTCTCTGTTTAAAGAAGTCTCCTCACGTTGCCCAGGATTTATTGCCATCTGCCATGCCAGCCAGGCATACCAGGAGATTTCACGGGGACTTCCCCAGAGCAGCACTCAGCGGGTCAGAGTGCAGCAGAGTGACGTATTTACAGCAAGGATGCTAAGGATGTGAACCATGCAATGCCGCTGACGCTTTGAGTGCTGATTATTTTCTGCTTCTCAGAACTAGAGTTCTTCCAGGAAAAAGGGAAAAACAAGCAAACATTAAAAAAAAAAAACCAAACACAAACACCAAAAAAACAAAAGGGAAAAAAGAAAGAAAGAGAAAGTGACAAGCCAAGAGCTGTCTGGTAATGAGAAAAGGAGAGCATGGCAGCAGCTCAGGCATGGCAGCACTCCTGTGCCCAGGTGGGCTTGTTGGAAGCAGATCCCACCAGCCTTCCAAGCTGTACCACATTTACAAACTGTTCTTTTTAAACAAAGGGGTTTTCTGCAGCTGGCAGAGAGTGCCAAGCTGAGGGTACCCAAGGAGCTCCGTGGCGTCTTGAATTGCTGCAGCACAGGGCAGAGGCCACATCACCCATTTACAACTCAGGTTTTTCTTTACCTGTTGGCACCTTTCATTCAAGAGGAAAAAAGGTCAAAGAAGCTTCACACAAGTGCCAAAGGAAAGGGGAAAGAATACCAGTGATCAGATAGTATTGAAGAGACAGGGAAGAAAAAGTACAGAGACAAAAGGGAGAGCCTGAAAGAAATTACAGCAAAAATAAAGCTATAGAGCAAAACAGAAACATGAAAGATTAAGGTGGCACCTCCAAGACCAGGAAGATTTTCATGCAGAATTCACTACCAGAAAAGTAGCATGGAAGTCAGTTAAAATTTTTGCATTGATAAGAGAAAACACAACATTAGACAGACTCAAGGATGTAAAAATAGCATTAGTTTTCCTGACAGAATAACAAAAAAGGTGGTGGGGGGGGGGACGAGCTGATTATGGGGGAGCTCTGTGATGAAAAAAATGGTAGCAATAAACTTCACCTCCACTCAGGGCAGCCTGGCCAGCCAAGTGAGCACAGAACATGCACCACTATTTGGCATTTTCCACCACAAAAAGCAAACCTAGGGAACGAGACAAGAACCCAACAGCCATGGCAATATCTGGGACCCACCTTCAGCCTTCAACATCCTCAACTCAACCTCACGTCCCTACACATTTCCAGCATATTTTCACAGCTACTTCTGGGGGTGAGGTGACACATCTGATGAACTAATGAGACTTTTTTGCTGTAAGGGTTCCCACATTTCCCAAACACAGAAGGCTGAAGCAAGCTGAATATATCCCTGCGCTCTTTCCAGCACGGACTCGATCCGGCGCAGTAACCGACGGGTCTGCGTAAAACACAAGCCACTCACCTCTGTGGGGAATCAAGGCTTTGCTTTAGGCATCAGCACCTCACAAGCCCACGCTCAGTCCTTTACTGCATCATACTGGCTACAAACTTACTCTGTTACTACTCGCACAACCTTGACTTAAGCTTCCCTTTAAACCAGTGCGTGGGACCGAGTCTGAAAGCTTCCTGTAGCTTTTCCTAGGAATACTTGTTGGCCTATTAAAGGATAGTAAGCTTTCCCGAAACACATAGTTCCACATGTATTTTCAGCCTGTCATAAACACAGTATTTCTATCAAAGAGTCACAAAACAGAACAGCCTCGGACTGAAGCCCAACTTGGCAATGTTGTTATTTGTGAGTGCTCTGCTACAGGATTTCTTTGGAATTACTGGGGAAAACCAATTGTTTTGCAAATGGTGAATGTCCAGAGTGGAAACTAATATTAAGAACCTTTGGTCTCTCTCCTCACTTCCTTCTCATCTTCATCCCCCGACTTTAGCCCGGTCCCTGCATCCCTCCCTCAGAGCACAGGTGCAAAGCATATGAAGGATCGCAGTAAGGCATTTCACCTGCTCTTCGTGCCAAGTGCCTGCAGGCAGGCCCTGCACACTTTGTGCAGGAATAAATTCTCTCAAACCAGGAGTCGCACTGGGACAATCTGACAGACGGGTTGTGCAGCAGCTCCCTGTACCTGCTCTGGAGGAAACGCCTCATGGTCACATCACCGTTACATCCACAAATACTGAATACTCCATACTGAATACTTTCAAAACTGAGGTCTGCAAAAGGCATTTTGTTCTTGGGACAAAGAGCAGCCTGTGTTTGTGACAGAGACGTGCCACATGCTCCCTGTAACCCTCGCACCACACCAACCGTTCAACCTGTGTTCCCAGCTTAGGAGACTCTTCCTCCCCCCAGAGGAAGCCGGAGCCGCCCGCCCGCCCCAGCCCCGAGCGCGGCGGTGCCGCGACACACTCACTGTGCGGGTCGCTCTTCTCGCGGACGCCGTCCACCCTCCCGTCGGGGTTGATGCGCAGGAAGAAGCCGCCGTTCTTGCAGTAGAGGCGCTTGGGGTCCTTGAAGTGCCCGGGGGGGAAGGCGCCGCCGCCGCCGCCGTCGTCGGGCAGGGTGGTGATGCCCCCCGCCGCTGCCGCCGCCGCCGCTGCTCCCCCGGCCATGCGCCGCGTCCCGCCGGCCCCACGCCGCGCCGGGCCCCCACCGCCCCCCGCCGCCAGCGCCGGCCGCCCTCGGCCCCTGCCCCGGCCGTCCAGCCTCGCACCGAGCCCCGCCGGGGGTGCCGTCCCGTCTGGTGCCGTCCGCTCCGCTCCGTGCCGCGGGGGAAGCTGCGCAGGGCGCCGCCGGGCAGGAGAGCGAGCGGGAGGCAGGACGGGCAGCGGAGCCGCGCACGCCGGGACGGGCTCCCCCGGCGGCACCGGGGCTGCCCCCGCCGCAGCCGCCGCCCCGCCCCCGACCGCCCCCGCGCCGCGCCGGGGCCGCTCCCTGAGCCCGCCGCAGCCGGGCCCGCGGCCCCCCGGGGGAGCGCCGAGGGGCCAGGGCAGGTCCTGGGGCCGGGACGGAGGGGCTCCGCTCGGCGCTGCCCCGAGCATCGCTGCCGGGATGCAGCGAACGTGCCACGGGCGAGGTCGGACATCTTCTCCTCCGGCGTTACAAATAAACTAACCCGGGAGTTCCTTCAGGCCAGAGGTTCTGTGGCCTCTGCATCGCACTGAGTTATTTAAATCACGATACAGAGAAACAGGGGTTGACCTGTTAAAATAAATCCACGAGGCAAACGTTTCACTTCACTGCGTTTACCAGAAACTAGTTCTCCTCCCATCCAACAGCAGCAAACTGATAGTCAGTAAAGGGCAACAGGTGAAAATTCCGGCACCAGCCTTCCAACAACACCGGTGATAAAACAAATGTGCACACAGTTTATACAGTTTAGTGACCCACTGAATGCACTTCGTGCTTGGGGCTGACAACACTACGAGATGAAGAGATTTCCTTCCAAATCTGTGCTTTGTGCCCTGAATCTCCTGTCTAGCAGCAGGTGGACCTTGGGAAGCTCTCTGACTTCAAAGGCAGCCCGAGCAGCCCAGCACGATCCTAGCTGGGACTGCTAACACTGGTCTTTTCACTTCAGAGAGCCAACAGACAGCAACCCTTGGGAAGAGCCCAACGCCAGGGCAGACAGGCCGTCCGACTTACGCAGTCTGTAACATTCTCTTCGCTAACATGTACGTAAAGGAATTTTGTTGCCGGTTCACTTCCCTTCCCAGCCCTGACCGCTCGCTCGCGAGCCATAAACTGTAATTCTTTACCAGAGTGGGCGACAATTATTACAGTGCTTCCCACACCCTCACTCCAGGGGCTTAATCATGATGAACGGAGCAGGCAGAGCCCGGCCCAGCGCAGGTTCACCCCCGTGTCAGCCAACCCTCCCCTCGCAGCACCGCGGGCACGGCCCAGTCCTGTTGTCCTTCTCCACACGCGGAGATTTCAGCCCCGCTGCTCCGTGAGCATCCCCCACCGCCTTTCCTTAGTTTCCCCATCGCCCATCCGCTTCCAACATTTTCTGCTCCTTCTCCTGGAAATCCCACTGTTTTCACTGTACCTGAGAGTTCTGGACAGTCACAGCCGCCAGCAAAAAACCTCCTCATTTCCTTCTTGTTCTTCCTCTGCAAGAGAAGCTGTGTGTCAGGGCAGTTTGTGTCCTTGCACTACAGTGTTCCAAATCTTTGCCTCTTTCCTGGAAGCCTGATGAAGGGAAGATGAAGGTAGATTCAGGTACCTGAAGAAAAGGGGTGAAAATGTAAAAAACCTCTCTAATTAGTTATTTTTAAACAAAACAAAACAAAACAAAACAAAACAAAAAAAACACAACCAAACCAAACCAAAACCCCAAACAAATAAAAAAAAGACAACCTCAAAATGCTGAAAACCCAACAAAACTTTTCTTAAGGCCAAACATCCATAGTTTCACTCAGATGCTTCTGGAATTCTGCATTCCCTGCACGCACAGCAGCCCTTCACAGCTCTCACACATCAGACCCTGGGAAACCACGTTTCAGCCTCTCACAGGTCAACATTCCCTCTTCTGGGAAGAGGGACACAGTTAACGGGGCAGGAGCGAGTCCCTGTACCCCAGAGCACCCCATATGAACACAGCCTTGGCCAGCTGGACACCCTGTAACCAAGCTGCAGCATCAACACCGTGTTTTACAGGACAAGATCCCGATATTTCTGGGAATCTTCTGAGCTCTGATCTCCAGGATGGCCCCAACCCAGTGCTGGCAAGGTGGGTAAGGCAGCCAGCTCAAAGTATCCTTATAAAAAACAGTAAAATCTTTTTTACCAGTAAAATTGTGGGGTTTGAGAGCTCTTTAGAAGCTTGTCACTGGGAACTGTACCTGTTGGGCCTAGAACTTAAAGACAGCAGAACTAAAATGGAAAGTCCTGTTCCCCAAGCCATCTGCACTCGCCTAAAGATCTGCCAATTTTATTTTTTTTAAAATGTATTTTCCTTTCTCTTCTTCAAATGGAAAACACGCCAGTTTTTATTTTCACCACTCTACATTCTTCTGCACTCCAACCACTTAATGTGGTCATTAATATTGCTCTTAACATTGGCTAAAGCAATTCTGGCAGTAGCATTTTCCTTCCTTTAGGCCTCTACCACGTTATCCCCACCACCACCCTTCCTCAACTCAGATCTTCCACACAATTACACCCATACAGCTACTTCTCCTCCACCCAAACCATCCATTATCTGTGCTTCCACAGCCCCCTTCACAAGCCTTCTTTTGTAAGAAGTTAAAATGCCTTAAACCCCACCTTCCTTCTACTTCAAAAATACGTCTTGGAGCCCTGTTCTCTCACCTGTTCCATTTAACTAAACCACTGCCATTTTGTGTTTGTCTTGCACTGTTCTGTAACCAGCTGGATTTTTTTAACAGAATCACAGAACATCTCAAGTTGGGAGGGCCCCATAGGCATCATCTGAGTCCAACTCCCTGCTTCTCACAGGAAGAGTTTACCTCTTCATTGTTTTATCCAGTGCTGCTCTCATACACAAGGGTCACACTGAACACGAGGCACGTCATAAACAAGATAGACACCCCGTTCTGATGGCAGAGAACCGTGGAACATCTGCATGTGCAATCATTGCATTTACTCAATATATAATGCTTGAATTTATAGAGAGTCTCAGTAAGAACATCTGGAAAAAAACCCACAAAACAAACGCAGTCAAAACATAAATTATATTGTTAGTCTGGTTACAGGAAACCCCTGAAAAAGGCAAGAGTAATTTCTGAGATACTTCAAATTAAGGGTAAGAAGCTCAATCAGCTCTATCAATCTTGGCTTTTAATCCAAGGTGCAAGAATCCAGCCTACAACTTTCCTGGACTTTCCAGCAGTTCCTACGACAAATTCTGCCAAATGACAACCCCAGGAAATGTCAATCCCCTTCCATGGAAGCTGCTTTTAGAGGGGTTTCAGCCATATGTCCTTGATAGCTTGCCAGGACAATGTCTCCAGAGTGTTTGCTCACACAGGAATCATGGAAGTGGTGTTTGAGAAGCATCCTAAATTAAATCTGCAGAAGACCTGATTTACTATAAAATGAAAACAAAACAAACAAACAAAAAATCCCTCACTTTTGAAAAGCAATTGAAACTCCAGGAAAGCAAAGACATCCAAGAACACTTGGGCTCATCCATCTTCCCACCATTAAGACACACCAGCAGGTGGTTTGTATCACTACAGTGGCAGGGAATGCTTCCAACTGTTGGAAATGTAACATCAGCCCCAGGCTTCCCGTCCATCACAGCACTTCTTGACTCCCAGGGTTTCTTGGCTTCCCTATCCCTCTCTTTGGTGCACATCCAAATAACAATTAGCCAAAAAGAGATGGATAAACTGTGTCCCTTCTGAAGTTTTCCCTGTGTTGTCTCGTGCTCAACTAGCAGTGGAAAAAAATCATCCATCTCCCTTCGGCAGCACAGAGTTCTCAGACATCCACTTGCCAAAGGCAAGGTCAGAAAACTGCGTAACTGCTTAAACTTTAAGTATATTTCATTCCTTCATAGTCTGAGCATGACTTTAAGAATTCATTAGCAATTTATTCCTCAGAATTCTTAGTTCTCTCACCATCAACAGCTGATATTTACATTCTGGATCAGTGTTCCTGTGTTTGCTGAGGAGTTGAAAACACATGCTGCAGCTGCTTTGTGTGACGGAAGCAAACAGCCACAAACTTGTCTATAACTGATTGAATTTTTCTTTGAAATATTAATTACTGGAGAAAGTAGTCTCATATTTTACTCACCTACTTTTGCAAGTGCAGTTTATGAGGCAAAGTTTCTCTCTTTTAAGTATATATGCTTATTATTAAGTGCCTGGGAGTCTTCTTGCGTGGTCACTCCTTTGAAAATCCTGCAACAGAGGTTTAGCTTTTAATTTTATTTATCTTGCCGGTGACTTTATGACTTTATCAATATTTTTTAAACAACAGCTTATTTCTTCCCTCTTCATATTTTTTTTCTGGTGCAAATAGTAGAAAGAAATCACATCAACGATAGGAAAAAAAAAATTCTCTTCCCTATTACAAACCTCTTACAGTCTCCATTCTACTTCAGGAAAGTGCTTCATTCTTCTAAAGCACCAGTGGACACTTGTTTATCCCTTCCTAAAATAAAATTTTCACAATATATGCTTAATCTGATTGTGGCCACAGACGGCCAAAACTTTGTTTTGGGCTGCCTTTACAAATAGTTGATGTTGGAAACATAACAGCCCAGCATGGCTGGAGATAAGAGAAGGAACAATCCAGTGAGGCCTTCGTTGGCAGTAAATCAAATTTGTTATGGTCCAAAATGATTGCACTTGGAAAAAGAACTGAACTGTCTAGAAGCACTGACGGCTGTTGCAGATGTAAGAGATGCAGCAGTGACCTCAGCCTTATGAGAAACGAGAAATAATGTTCTAAGGACAAATATTTATGGAGGTTAGAGTTCAGAATCGGCAAAGTCGCCCCTCTCCCTCTCTCTAATGTACATACAAACACATATACACACCCTTTCTCTCTGTAGTGCACATTATATAGAGTAATACCTCTAAATTAGCAAAATTACTCCAGGCTAAGAAAATAAACAATATCAATACAAAGATTGATAATGTATATTAAAAAACCACAAACAAACAAACAAAAAAACCCCCACGATTTAAAAAAATACTCTGCAGTCAAACATCACGAACTCGAAG